CTCCTCCAGCAAAGCATCTTGTGGATTCAAACCTCGTGCCTCTGGGATTTCAGTGCAGCTTCCTGCCACTAGGCCACCAGAGCTCTCTTAAAAGATTTTTTTTTACAAAAATTAAATGTTATTAGTTATCAATGAAGCAAGAATTTTGGCCTCATGGGTGCAGAATAAACTGCTATAACAGGGTGTTTGATGCCTGCGGCCGGCCCTTCAGTAGCCGATCACCAAAATTACCTTCCACGACACCGATGAGTGGGTTTGACTTGCCAAACTTAACAGCTACTATATGAGAGTTTAACAATAAAAAATTATTCCTCAACAATTCAAATCAATATCTAGTACCAATCTCTAGGACCTAGAATTCAGTTTGAAAGAAGTCCAGGAACATTACATGCTTAAAGTATATTGTTGTTGATTGCCGTCAAGTCGAGCACGACTCATAGCGATCCTATGAACAAAAGGCCTGAAAGCCTTTCTGTAACTATCATCGTTTATCAAAGTTCATAGAGTTTCCAGAGGCATGTTGTTTAGGAAGTGGATGCCATTCCTGATTTTGAAAAAAAAAAAAAGCCTATTACAGGTATTTTTCATGTAAATTACAATCAAGGAAGTCAAAGTACCAAGCAAAAGATTCTCCGGTAACTTCAAACTTTCTAGTTCCCAAGGTACAGAAGAGGAAGAAATGGAGAAAAGGAGAGTATTTGACACTTTGACTAGCAATGATCTGGCTATTCTGAGAGGAAGTGCAAAGCAGAGAGACAACTTCACTTTAGATTTCCTCCTACCTGGACAGATAGTTCACCCATATTTTATACTCACATTTGGGTCCTTCAGTGGTCCAACCAGAATGTCCTCATCTTTCAACATGTGTGCACAAATTAGGGGAAGGGGAGCTAACAGAAAGGTAAAAGAAGCGGTTACTGAACGCTTACTCAGCGGCAGTACCAAGTTATACACATATCTCATGTAATCTTCCCTCTGACCCTGGAAGATTAGTGCCCATATTTCATAGATGAGAAAACTGAGGCTTGGAAAAACTAAGTAATTTATGTAAAGATGTTTGTTGTTGTTTGGTTCTGTCAAAGATTCCAATTTACAGTGGCCCTTGAGACTTTGTGTGAACCCAAAACCCTGTTAGTCATTGTGTCAACCCACCTTACACATGAGGTCTCCTTCGGTGGGCTGGCCCCTTCTGAGAACATGCTCAAAGTATGTGAGGCAGTCTCACCATCCTTGCCCTAAAAGAGTACCTGGATGCTCCTTTTCTAAGATTTATTTGCTCTTTTAGCAGTCTATGGTATTTTCACTGTCCTTACACAACATAATTCACAAGCATCCACTAATTAATTGTTGTTATTAGATGCTGTCAAGTCTACTACACATACAGCAACCCAGGAACAATGGCTCTGAACCTTGTTCTGTCTTGCACCATCTGCATTGCTAAGTCTTCCAAGTATGATGTCCTTCTCCAAGGACTGATCCCTTCTAATGTTGTTGTTTGTTGTTATGTGTCATTGGGTCGCTTGCAACTCACAGTGACAACAACCCTAAACCCTGCTTGCTTATTGTCTCCGACACGCCTATCCCCACGACCCCAGTGACAGAATCAATCCATCTCATCGAGGGTCTTCCTCTCCTGCGCTGTCCCTCCACACTTTCCAAGAATGACGTCCCTCTCCAAGGACTGATGTCTCCTTATAACATGCCCAAAATATGTGAGATGAAGCTTCATCATCCGTGCCTCCAAGGGTACCCTGGCTGCAGGTTCTGCAAGACTTATTTGTTCTCTTAACAGTCCATGGGATATCCAGCACTCTTCTCCATCATCACAACTCAAAGCTAGGATTCTTCTCTGTCATCCATAGTCACTGTCCAACTTTCAGGTGCACAATGAGTAACCGAGAATTCTAAAGCCCATACTCTGTTTACTACACAGTCCTGCCTTCATCAGTAACCACCCACTTGTGCTAGAGGTATGGGACAGCAGAGTTAACCAGAGCGGTTGACTCTTTGAGGAGCCCTGGTGATGCAATGGCTAAAATACTAGGATGCTAGCCCAAAAATTGGCAGCTTGGACCCACCAGCTTCTCTGCAGAGCAATGTGACTATATGCTTTAGGTAATAATGCACAAACACCTGTGAGTTGGAATCAATTAATTTTTACTTTATCAAAACAAAACAAATAAGGACCTTTGACACAGAGCCTTAGAATGTTTGGTTCTATTTTCAATAATGCAACTTTAAGTCTATCCTCTTTGTCTGACAAATAAGGAGTCTAACACCGAGGAAGGTTAGATGTTTAAAGATCCTTGACTATTCCCTCCATCCTTCCTCTCGGTTTCTTGGGAAACCATGTCCACTTCCTGCTCTACCATTGTTTGCTTGTTACTAGGCACTAACTGTCACATAAAACAAGTGGTGGGGATTTCTGCAACATCATGAAGGCAGCTGTAACACAATCACATGGAAGGTATTCGAAAACGTCTGCCACCAACTCAAAACAGCTTTCGAAGGGAACTTAATGCAGCAGTATGTGAGATCCTCTTGAAACCAATAAACATATTTATCTTGGGATAAATATCTTTCTAACAGGACAAAGAACATTCAAAAGGAGCGTGCTCATTTCTTCAAGGGGAAAAAAGTAGTCTCAAAAGCGCACAGGAGACTTTTTAGAGTGCTGGAGGGCAAGACAGTAGAGCAAAGTCAAAGAGAGGAGGAAAACAGTGTGGTTTTGCCCAGGAGGGGTTCAGGAGGGAAGGAGCCCCGCTGTCCGGGGCTGAGGGTCCGGTCCTCTGGGTCCTTACTGTCCTCAGGATGCTGCCAAGCTCTCCTCCAGCAAGGATGCTCTAGATGGTCCTCCTGATGGGCGGAGAGGAGCAGCCCCGGGAGCTGGAGGCGTGTCCCCGCTACAACAACCGCTCCGGGGCGGCTCCAAACCAACCCGGGGACCCCTGAGTTCTCATCCCATCCCTCTGAGCACCTCCCAGCCCAGACTGTTCGCCTGCAAGCCCCCACATCTCGTGGTTACCTCAGCGGTCTCCTTGCTCCGGACCGCACACCCCACGCCCCCGGGACACAGCTTCGGGTCCCCGGGGTGGGGAGTCCAGGCAGTCCGCGGGGAGAGAGTTAAACCCGACGGACTCTAGGACCCGGGGAAGGACAGCAAGTAGCAAAGGACGAGGGGGGTGGGGGCAAGCCCCTGGGAGCTGAAGTTTACAACGGCCACTTCCGGAGGCTGGGCGGCTCGTCTTCGCCCGCAGACCTTCGCAGGCCTC